ACAGCAGCGAAGACCCAGCGCAGCCAAAAATCAGTTAAAAAAGAAAAAAGGTATGATAGGGCATCTCTAGTGATATAGCATGTTTGTGTACTGTTCTTGGTAGACACACATATTAAAGTACTTAGATAATTAAGTTATCAATGACAGTAAAATGGTTGCTTTTTAGTTTTTGATCATTTTGGGGGAAAATTCTCTCTTGGTTACTAAACATTCACAGAATGCCCACTCTGTATCATTCTCAAAGACAGATATTGAGTTCACAGTGGAGAGTGAGAAAGACCTAGTCCCTGCCCAAAGCCTTGCAAACAGACTGGGGAAGACAGACGTTGAACACATTATCTTAAGAGTGATCACGAAAGGTGTATAGGGTCTGGGGAATAGGTATTGGGGGAGAGAATTAATCTAGTTAGGGGGCTGGAGAAACCTGTGAAATTACTTTGTGAACTAAGGTGAACTACAACTGTTGTTAGTGGGTGATGAACTAATAGTAAGGGTAAAAGATTTTCTTTAGGTAAAAAGGTCACTTCATTTTTGGGTTTTGGCTATCTTAAATCACCTGTTTACCTTTTGTTTTAATTCAGTACTTACTTTATGTGCTCTTTTGTTTTTAAGGAATTTTTAAAAGTATTTTAAAGTCTTTATTGAATTTGTTACAATACTGCTTCTGTTCTGTGTTCTGTTTTTTGGCCTCAAGTTTTGTGGGATCTTAGTCCCCTCACCAGGGATCCAACCCCCAACCCCTGAATCTTAATCGCTGAACCACCAGGGAGGTCTCTTATATGATACATATCTTGCCTTTTAAACATGGTATTATTTCCAGGGTTGAATTTGAAACAGAAAGAAAAGTGCATCAGTCATGTTAGTTTGATTGTTCAAAAAAAAAAAAAAAAACCCAAATAAAAGCGCATCTAAAGTCTGCAGCCCCCTTGCTTCAGTTCTGGGCAAGTTTGATGGGCCATCCTAGTTCCAGGGTTCCCTTGTGAGATCAGCTGAGCGCTTCTTAGTGGCTGCATTGCAGTATTGCAGTTCAGCTTCTTCCACTGCCCAGTTATATTTCCTTGATACCTCATGGGGAGCGAAGAGTGCTCCCCAATAAACTTCCTTCACACACACGCACACACAAAAAAGTTGATGACCGAAAATGGATGGTGGCACCAGTCTGCATTAATTAATTTAAGTAGCAGTGTTTTGAAGAGATGAGATTCTTTTCTGAGCAGTTACCGTATTGCATATTTCAAGTTATCTTTAAATGTTGAAGATTTGGCTTCTTTTTTTCCTCATAAATAAAGGGGGCCCAAAAGTCTACAGATGCAGTGGATCACAAGGTAATAAAACAACTTGCATTGAAAAACCTTTTCAGTAATGGGACCTCTACTTTTTTAGTCTTTTTGTGATATGCTACACCACTTGTATTTAAAATAGAATTTTAGTGTTGTAGGATTTTTAGAGCTGGAAAAGAGGCCTTTGAAGTCATCTTTTTGACCAGTTCTATTATTTTTAGCAGGAGAGTATTTGCTAGGTGAAATATTACAGGAATGACCCATATATAAGACAGCTAAAAATGGTGATGCTTTGAGAACTGTTAATTATACACTGCAGATCTGAGCCCAGCTACCTGGACTTTAGCCTGGTTCTTTCCTTAGGGCTGAAGCCACTAAGCCCCAGTTCCTTCATATGTAAACTCAAGGTAGTAATAGGACCACACCGTAAAGGGCTTCTGAGTTTTAAATGCGATTTACTGTTAGTAGAGGGCTTTGATCCCTGGGTTGGGAAAAATCCCCTGGAGAAGGGAACAGCTACCCACTCTGGTATTCTCGCCTGGAGAATTCTTTGGACAGAGGAGCCTGGCAGGCTATAGCCCATGGGGTCGCAAAGAGTCAGACACGACTGTGACTTTTGCTTTCCTTTCTTTTTCAGAGGGCTCAATAATATTAGTTTGGTTAATTTGGTTAAAGCAAAGTGAGCGACCATTCTGGCAGCCTGCCTGCCTGGTGCTCACTTTATTCTATGTGGTGGGTCCAGGAGTACCTCCCTGGATGGAGTATAGTGTAAAAACCACCGGTTTAGTTTGTCTCCCTCGGTTTGAAGATGAAGAAACTGGGCTCTGGTTTAAGGAATCATTTTAAAGGCCACAGACCAATTTCTTCTGCTGTAGGCTACACACAGCTATTATTGCTGAATTAAGCTACATAACCATGTTTAGGTTCTGCAGCTTCTCTTTAGGTGGTATGTGAGAATAGAAGGTAGAACTTTGAATTAGAAGAAATCTTGGATAATTAAAAGAAACCTTACTATTAAACTATAAAGGAGTCAGTTGGTAAAGTAATGTGAAGTGTCTTAGAATATGTGTAGTGCTTAGTAAAGACTGGTCAGATAGATGGACTGAGTAGTTTCTTATATATTCTTTTGTTGTTGTTTATTCTTCAAGCATTTTTGAATAGCCTTTTAAGAAGAATATGCAGTGTTCCCTTGGAAGTTCTGAAAAGCTTGACAATTCCTTAGGAAACTACCCGATTTATCTTATTATAGACCTATAATTTATAGCAAATATGGGCCTTCTGCCACCAAATCCTGAATTTATTCTTTAAATGGTGATGAAAAGCTCATAAATTTTATGGTAAATGATATGTGAAGCATAATCAAAATATGGTGTCTGATATATATTGGTAATAAATAGTTTGTTACTGGCAATTCTTGTTAAATGTGATTTGAATCATAAATTATGCCATTGGATCCTAATTACACAGTTCTTTACTGTGTGCTCTTCTGATTAAAAAAGAAGTACCATATAATTCTTCAGGTGTCAATCGGAAAAAACATTGTTCTAGACAATGAGGATACAAAAATGAACAGGCATGGTGTTTGCTTTCTAAGAACTTTCATGCCATCTCAGGGATTGTGAATTCCTACAACTTTTCTGGAGAATATTTTGCATCAATCAGTGTTAAAAGCCTTGAAAGTGTGTCTCTCTCTCGATCTAATATTCCTACTTCTAGGATTTTGTCATAAGTGAATCTTAAGATGTGCATAAAGATTTCTGACCTTAACCATAAAAATTCTTACCTCCTGTGAGATTTTTTTTTTAATTGTAAAAACATAAAAGCTATGCAAACAGAGACTTGATTCAGCAAAAACAGAAGTCTCCATTTCGCCCCCTTTCTTGCTCACTTTGAGTAAACAAAAAAAGGAAGAGATAAATGTTATCCACTAATAAACAATGTAGCAATTCTGTCCTCTGGTTTATTCTTCACTGTCCTCTTCCCATCCTCATTCTGTGGCTCCGGAAGCATTTCTACCCCTGAATGCGTGCTCTGGCCTCTGTGGCCCTCAGCCCTGGGATTGGTTCATCAAAGATCCAGGAGGCTGAGAGGGCTGAGGAGAAGGAATGGGTTACAGTTGTAGAGGTAGGAAGCTTAGGAGAAGAGGGGCCCCTATCTTGTTGAAGGTTGTACAGAACCTGACTTAGTCATCTATGAAGGCAGAGCAGCCGAGGTAACCTGGCCAAGTTCCAATCTGAACTCTTAGTCTTACTGGACTAAAAGGATATCTCATCTGTTGAGGGAGTGCTGAGAGCTTTGAGAAGGTTCATCTCTGCATTGTTTATAATCATAAAAAATTTCTGGTAACCCAAATGATTATGGAAACTAGTTGAACTGGTATGCCTAAGTATTAATAAAAAGATCAAAGTGTTAGTTGCTCAGTAGTGCTCAACTCTTTATGATCCCATGGTCCATGGAATTCTCCAGGCAAGAATACTAGAGTGGGTTGCCATTCTCTTCTCCAGGGGATCTTCCCAACCCAAGAATTGAACCCAGGTTTCCTGCATTGCAGGCAGATTCTTTACCATCTGAGCTACTAGGATATGTACAATATAGTAAACAAAAAATATGTATTCTGTTGATTTAGTTGCATGACCAGCATTATAGTCCTGTGCCTGGCTTCCCTTTAAACCCTCCTTATAAAATTCAAGTTCTGGGTACATTTTATATTAGGTTTTCTTCACTCCAACTCCAGATCAGAAGATTATTGCTGAATTCAAACCACTGAACCATGACATGTGATCATTAGTGCCTCTTTTTCTCATTGCCGTTTTCCACAAGGATAGTTCTCAGATTTTCTCCTTTCCTCATGCCAGTGGTGTGCTTCCTTATCCTTTCACATGTCAGAACACCTAAACTTCTTCCATTCTTCCTCTTGATTATCTGTGATCTGCAGCTGCCAACATTTTGGCTCTCTTCACTAATTGGAAACTATTCTGTCTTGTAATTGTGTGTGAACAAGCCTTATTTCCCTTGAAAACTTTGAGTGCAGGGACCATTCTTGTTCATCTTTCTGTTTCTGGTATTTGAAATTATTTCAGACGACCATGGACTGCATGGTGGTTTCTCAATAGTCCACAGTACCTGTGGAAGGATTTTAACTGGCTCCAGGATACAGTCCAAAAGCTTTTTTGAATTTGAAAGCATATTTAAACAATTGAAACTTTAGCAAAATTGCTGTGTAGTGTTGTAAAGACATATTTACATTATCAGTTATTTTGGTATTAAATAATTCATTTTACCAGAAGCAATAGAACATTAGTAGTTGATTACATTATCATTATTTCTGGATATACTGTGCTCTTTAGTAGTATTGGGTGCAAGTGAATGTAATTGGTAGCTGACACCTAGTTTGAGAATGTGTTCTAAGGATTTTAAATTCAGATACATAAATCAGTTTCTTGTTGAGCATAGATTAGTAGGAAAGTTGTTTGGAAATAATAAAAAAATTTTTTTAAGTAGAATACTAATTTGTATTTTCTATTTTTATTAGGCAGGAATATCAGTAATAGAGTGATAGATATAAATAGTCCAATTTTGCTATTGACCAAGTATTTATAAATACATTTATAGAACTGAGTACTGCATACACTTCTCTTTAAAGCACACCTGCTTACCAATTAGAGAAAAAAAAAATTATATTGCAACATAATTTTCCTTTTTTTTTTTTTCTCTTTTTAGACCTCATTGCTACGATTTCAGAGTACCCTGGTGATAGCTGAGCATGCAAATGATACCCTTGCACCCATTACATTAAATACCATCACTGCAGCCAAATGTCTTGGAGGTGAAGTGTCCTGTTTAGTAGCTGGAACCAAATGTGACAAGGTGAGAAATCTTTAAGGTCAACCATAGCAAATAAAATCGCCATCAAGAGACAGGGAAAGATAGCGACAGAGAGTTATAATGAGGACTGTAGCCCAAACTGGGTCCTAAACCTTAAACTGTCAGTTTCACAACTATTACTGTGTGTGAAAAAGAAACTAAAAGATTTGCTCATTAGGCATTTTGTCTTTTGAAATGAGGTGGAATACTTGATTTAGTTCCACTGGCACCATCATGTGCCATCAGGTACCAAGTAGAGATAATATTTGAGTCCCCTTAGAGGTTAATAGCCAATCCCTTTTTAGCATTGATGAATATACTTGTTAATTGCTTTTAATTCCTGAGAGTGGTAAATCTGGAAAAAGTATCATGGGTGTTAATTTTTAATTCAAATGCAAGGACTTTCCCAAAACTATACCTGGTACTAGAAGATGTTCTTTGTTTGGTTGTTGACATAAGACAATGACAGCTTTGTAAACTAACCCCCTGAAAAGGAACTCTAATGAGGTTTGCACAGTCTGTACTTTTGGACTTTAGTGTAGTTGAAATCATGCTTTCATTAAGCTTACCCACTTTGAGCCACCATTTGCCTCTCACACCATATAGAATTTGTCAGTTGTGTAGTTGGGGGCTTGGACCTCAGGGGAAGAAATCCATAAGAGAGCTTGTTACTTTTTAGACAATTTAATTTATTTTTTTTTAGATGACCTTGATGCAGAGCATGTGATACAATGCAGGTTCAGTTAGTGTTGTTTTGGCAAATTTCTTACATGCAATTGGTATCTTAAAATAATGTATTCAAGCAGGTGTGTGCTTATGTGGATTTCTTTACCTAAATCCTGCTAACAACTGTTGACTCTTGCATAGTTATAAAAGATAGCTAAACTATCTTTTTGGTTGCCGTACTTCCAGATATACAAGTTCTGGACTTGATTTTTTTTTTTACTGTGATTTTAATTAATCTGATATAACTTGCAAGATATTTTGTTATTTTATTTATAGTATTTCGAGAAAAATTGAAACAAATCATCTCTTCTTCAGTTACAGTCTTATTATCATGTCGCATTCTAATCTTAAAGAAAAACAGTCAGTACCTGTATATAGAGACTCTGTTAATAACCCAGGCAGATTTCAGTTTTATACTAAAATATAGCTGTTTATCATAGACAGCAAGTAACTTTTCTATGTAGTGCCTGAAATAAGAGATGGATATGATAGTACAATATACCCTGCTAGTGAATACTTGATTTAGAAGAGTTGCTTTTGCACTGCCTTCTTTCTTGAGTGAATGTTGTTTTAACCTTATCCTCCATTAAGGGAGGGCAGAAGGTGTGGCCTTTTATATTTACTCATCAGTGAATCAGTATGAAGGTAAACAAGAAGATGGTAGACCAGAATATGACTGCCATGTTTCTGCTGAAACAGGAACCAGTCATGCTGTACTTAGAGATTTAAAAGAAGGAATTCTAATGGCTTTCTGTATACAGAAAATCTGAGTGGTCAAAGAGCTTTCCCAGAACCCCATCCTGATTCTAAACAAGAGAAAAGAGGAATTAAAATAGAAAATATTTTGCTTCATTATAGATAAATTTATGTTGATGGGCAGGAACTCAGGGGTTGACAGTGGACTGTTTTCTCTATAGTTTTCTAAGGTTCTATATGGTTTTCTCGATGGCCCAGAATCACTGATTTTAGTATCAGCAGAAATCATTATTGTCAGATAAAGTGCAGTGGCTTGCATACCAGAGTGGTTAAGTCTTGTTCTTTAGTTCTAGGAACCTTAAATCTGAAATGTCTGAAATGTGTTGACTGTGTCATTATTATGAGCGAAAGAACCTAACCATTTCTAAAATGATGAGCTTATGTTTGCATTGAGCAAAAGGGAAGAGCACAATAAACAGTTACATTTGCGTGGATAGCTAAGTTGATTTTGATTTATCAATTTGTACTTTTTTCAAAGCAAGAATTTTTGTTTAGGGTCCGTAGACCATAAGATCAATTGGCTTAAGATTTTCTGTGTTAAATAATTTTCTTTTATTCCTAAGTAGCCGTTTTTCTCATAAGAACAGTTCTTACAGTGGCCGTTAAGGTTTTATACTCTGCTGAATCTGTAATGGTGGCTCTATTAGTACCTTTCTGTTAGATGGATAATTAAAAACTTTTATTCATAGGTGGCACAAGATCTCTGTAAAGTAGCAGGTGTAGCAAAAGTTCTGGTGGCTCAGCATGATGCGTACAAAGGCCTCCTTCCAGGTGAGCTTTTCCAGTGGAAAAAAATTAATGTCTAAATTAAGCTTGAGTATCTGACTGTGAAAATATTATGAAATGTGTTTATCAAATGTGTTTAATTCTCAGAGGAACTGACACCATTGATTTTGGCAACTCAGAAGCAGTTTAATCACACACACATCTGTGCTGGAGCGTCTGCCTTTGGAAAGGTGAGAAGATTTATAATGTGGAATCTGATGTCACTAGTTGGAAGGGTTAGATTTCATGGTGCTGAAAATGTACAACAGACTTTGTTTAGATAGCTAATTCTGGCTTTCAAAATTAATGTGATAGTTTTGCTAAAATTTATTCTTTCAAGATTTTGATATAATTTCTGTTAAAATGCCATCTCCAGGCTTTCAGCTATGGTCATAGAAAGAACTCTGTTCTTTTGAGACTTTGTCATAATTTTTTATAATGCCACTTCCAGATTTTCAGATTTTGTCATGGAGAAAGCCCTATTTTTAAACATATTTTTCTTAAGTAACAATGTGGAACTGTCTCATTGTGTGAACGCCATTTGAATTAGTAACCCATTATAAGAAATGGATTTGTTTTGGTTCAGTTCTGTTCAGTTGCTCAGTTGTATTTGACTCTTTGCAACTCCATGAACCGCAGCACGCCAGGCCTCCCTGTCCATCACCAGCTCCCGGAGTCCACCCAAACCTATGTCCATTGTGTTTGTTTTGGTGACTGGTGGATATTTAGAAAGGCCAAGTTTATCTATTTGAGAGATTTGGAAAGGACTGTGTAGTGGTTGAAGACATCCTTAGGGTAAAGAGAAGTGTGATCTGATCATATGCATTGTGATATGTCTGAATGTGCTATGAGATGGGTAGTGGTCTGCATGAGTTATTTACCTTCCTGAAATATGTTTTCTGATATATAACATGATGCAGTTTGGCCAGGTGATGTCTATAATCTGCCAGTTAGAACTATTAAAAGATGGAATGGGTTTTCTCTATAGCAGTTTTCACTTTCCTTGGAAATGGTTAAGTCAGAAGCTTGCCATCCAGCTGCTGTATTTTGGGATGTTGCAGAACAGCGTTGACTAAAAGATCACTGGGGACCCTTCCCGCTCAGGGTTTTGTTTCTGTATTAAATGATTTAAACAATTTCGTGAGTCTTGAGTTTCTGTGATGACAGTTCACCTAAAAAAGTGTTAAACCAAGAAAGGGTATTTGTTGTAGTTGATTCGCTAGATTTTAATACTCTGGCTTTGATTGCTGTATGGGTGTTTTGAGAACAAAGGTCACATAATAGTATTATAGCTGGTGCTGCAGTGGATTTGGAATGAGGAAGAGTCCATCAGGTGAAGCTAAACAATTTGCTCTATAATAATTCTTCACCGATTGTCTTTTTAAGATACCACACAACTTTATATTGGTAATCTAGAATATTATAACTGCCATCTTTTTTGTGCATCAAAAGAACACTGTTAGTTATTACCTCTCCTTCCCTGAAACCATGTGGTTTATTTAGCCTGTTAGTGTTGAGATGTATCTGTTTACCATCCATCCTTTCAGGACATTGAGACGTGTGCCTTTAAGTGCTGTGGTAAATTTTGTTTTCAAGATGTGGTAAAATGAAACAAGGGATAGTAGAAGTACAAGAAGTATTAAATTTCAAGGAATTAAAAAAAACTCTAAAACTTTAGAAAGAAACACAGTCTGAATATCATAAAATCTGTGTGAGAATCTGCTCAGCCAGGTAGTAATATTCCAGTCATATTTCCTGAACGGTTAAAGAAGGTGCCTCAAGGAAAGAGTTACTTACTGAAGCAGGCTTTAAATGCTGACAAATGTGGTTTGTTTTAAAAGCAGGTATCTTCTAAACCTCTTATTTACCAAGTTAGAACTATGTTTAATGGCATTTTAATTATTTTCCCAAGCCCTTTATTTCCTATAAAATCTTAATTTTCTTTCTGATTGTGGATTTATAAACTATGGTATTTTTCAGTAGCTCTGTTATTATGGTTGAAAGGGAATCACTATATAATATAGGTAACAATAGACTGAGTATTAGAAAATCTTTACAGTTGGAGGATGTAGCAGGAGGAAATTTGACTCAAGCTTTCAATACTTGTTGGCATCAATTTATATAGAACTGTTTATTAGCTACAGGGTAGAGACATGAGAAGTGGAGACATACAACCTCTGCTCTTGGGGTGCTTATAAACTTAGTTGAAGGTTAAATAATATGTATATTAAAACTTTTAAAACAAAATACATGTTAGTGCCAATAGTTGTATATGCATGTGAGAGGATTCAGAATAAAGGAGTGATTAGAGGATAGTCCTGAGAAAATTCTTAGAGGAACAGAGAAGATTTGGGGATGGAATGAGAGGAACTTGAGTGCTGTTACAATGAAAGTTCACCTGCTAGAGTTGGTTTCATGTACTGAGTTTAGGAGATGCTGTAGAGTAAGCTCTGTGTAGAAAGCAGTGGGGAATTTTACCCTTTCTATTTGTGTGATAAAAGCAACACTTCACTTTTAAAATTACACTTAGATGATGTCATCATCTAAGAGAACCTTGGCATCTAGAAAGTATGCATATTCGTTCTTCACTAACTGATTCTGTTTTAGCGCCCAAGAAATTTAGAATAAAAGCATAGAGATTCTCTTCCTCTTACTGTGAGGTGAAGTAACTAAGCCCTGGGGTTATTGGGGCTTGCCCAGTGATCCCTGCTAAGGGGGAACAAAGTTACCACGTGTATCTATTCCAGAGATGTTATATGCATATACAGAGAAAGCATATACATGTGTGTATATGTGTGTGTGTGTATATATATATATATATATAGAGAGAGAGAGAGAGAGAAAGGCTGTGCTTTACTTTTCTCATTTTTTAAATTACATGGATTTACTATAATTTGTAAACCTATGCCCTATTGAGGGTTTCCCTGGTGGCTCCGACGGTAAAGCGTCTGCCTGAAGTGCGGGAGACCAGGTTCGATTCCTGGGTTGGGAAGATCCCCTGGAGAAGGAAATGGCAACCCACTCCAGTACTCTTGCCTGGAAAATTCCATGGACTGAGGAGCCTGGTGGGCTGCACTCCATGGGGTTGCGAAGAGTCGGACACAACTGAGCGACTTCACTTTCACTTTTCACTTTCATGCCCTATTGATGGATACTTGGGTTAGTTTTTTTTTAATGCAACTTCACTTTTTAAAAAGGTGAACATGTCCGATTTGGAATTTTTTCTTTCATGTACATTAAGTAAACATATAAGGATGTTCTTTTTTAGTATTTGAGAACTTTACTACTCTAATTATTTTTCTATCTTATCTAAATTCAGTAATCTATAATTGTCACACTTTGTAAATGATGATCACTAAAGCAAATATCATATCTCATAATTCAACGTACTGAGTTAAGGTAGTTTATTGCTATAAACTCATAAAACTCTTAATGTAGTTAGAGTAATGATCGACTCTTACTTATATTCAAAGGCTATCCAAAAAGTTGTGCTTGAAGTTGTGGTATGTCTAAAGATGCATGTGAAATATAAAATATTCAAAATAAAGTTTCTACAGAATTTGCTTTTAGAGAATGTTACTGCTAATATTTTACAGCCATCCATCAGCATGTATTGCGTAACTCACTACTTATTTTGCTTTTAGAACCTTTTGCCCAGAATAGCAGCCAAACTTGATGTTGCCCCTATTTCTGACATCATTGCAATCAAATCACCTGACACATTTGTGAGAACCATTTATGCAGGTGGGTACCCAAGGAAAACAGTTAATCAAAATGTTAAATATTTGAAAATTCTTAAAGCAGAGATTAATCTCGAAGATAGGATTTTGATGGATCATCCTAAAGATTCCTGCAGAAAATCTTAGTGTTAGATCTTAGTGTTAGAATTGCTGCTGGACTGTGATATGACATTCTCTATCTTAGTGTTAGAATTGGTGCTGGACCGTGATACGACATTCTGATAGATTTAAAACACACTTTTTTCCTTCCTGGTCATTCCATGTACAGAGTGAGATTTTTCCAGTGATCAATAAAAATTAGGTTTCTTTTCAGTATATTTTGTAAGTGGCTCTTGAAAAAGAAAACTTTCTGTTTTTTTAAAAATAATTTCAGTCGTCTTTACTGCTTCTATTTCATTTCTGTCTGCATTAAGAAATTCAGTTCAGTGTCTTTTTAGTCAATTGATCTTTTGCTAAGCACACTGGTCTCTGGTGGGGCTGGAGAAGGCAATGAACTCTTTGATCTTTCTGATTGAACTCAAATCAAACCTCTCATCTTTAGTAGTGTTTAAAGGGAAGTAAGTATTTGGTCATAGTTTAGGTCACTCTAATGTAATTGCTAATCCATAAGAAATGTCTCAAATACTTTTAAAATCTTGGTGCATCACACTTCCCGTCCTCTATGCCCCTACCATGTTTTCACTTATTATCTTGCCTTAGCAGGCGTGGTAGCTTTGTCTTTATTAAGTTATTGCAGCTCATGTTGTTAAGTTAATGATCATGTTGTTTTGGAGAAGAAAGCTTTTGTTTATATTCCTTTTAGGAAGAATGTACCTGATTAGTGTGACAGCGTTTTCCAGTTTGTTTCTTCCATGCAGGCCAGCACTTGTTCTGTTTTTAAAGACATCCAAGGTTACATGGAGTGCCACTGATATGTTCTTCAATGTTATAGTCCTTTTCCTGTATTTAGTAAAGGTAGAAAAAAACCTAACTGGTCTACAGTTATTTTTTCCTTATCTTTGTGAAGTAAATTCTGAACCTCAAAGGAATACTTGGGGGACTTTTTTGCCTTTCATGGTTGTTTTTAAAAATAAATGTGCTTTTCAGGAAATGCTATATGTACAGTGAAGTGTGATGAGAAAGTGAAGGTGTTTTCCGTCCGAGGAACATCTTTTGAAGCTGCAGCAACAAGTGGAGGCAGTGCCAGTTCAGAAAAGGGTGAGTGTTTGTAATTGCTTTAGTTTCTTATTTTTAGTTCAGACATTATATTAGAATAAGAGATTGCGTCTAGTTAAATTTCTAATGCAGACTGTTTGAGAGCTCCATCTAAATAAATGATATTCCCAAGTTTATGCAAAAGTAAGAAATATTTACATTATTTTTTGTACTATGATAGTTAGTTTGGTATATATCAAAGGGGTAGGAGTGGGGTGCATTAAGATTAATTTGTTATATTGATGTAAGGATTTTTTTACTCTCCTCTCATTGTTTATTATAAAAGAACTTCAATATAATGGGAGACTATAATAATAGTAAACTTATGGAAGGTGTTAACACTTTAATATATACAGTATCTTATTAAGCCCCATAGAGAAAGGGTTATTTCAGTCTTATAGGTAGACTCAGAGAATTAAATGACTTCTCAAAAGTCATATAGCTAATACAGTGAAGGCCAGAATCCAGTCCCTTTAAGTCTTTCCAAAAATCAGAGAGAATGAAATTAGTAGCAAAAAATAAAAAATCACACTAACAAAGTTAAATTTCCTGTGATTAATTCTTTGTGTATTTCTCTTAAAAAATTATTTTTACTGTAGTCCTTGAACTCATACTGTTTGTTTTGTTATATGTATCAATATACGCAGCATCAAGCATTTCCCCAGTGGGAATATCAGAATGGCTTGACCAGAAATTAACAAAAAGCGATCGACCAGAGCTCACAGGTGCCAAAGTGGTGGTGTCTGGTGGTAAGTCAAATATTGTAATTTTAAAAATGATGTAAACTTAAAATACTTTGCTTTTATTAATACTTAATTTTAATGGGGTACAGGTGTTTTTTCAAATGTAAGAAGTAAGTTGTGATTATTAGTCCCATTTTACCTATTAGGAAAATGAAATCTTGAGTTTAATAGTTTGGACTTCTGTTGCAAATCTGTTTCATTGGCACCAGGGGGAGCATGGTACAAATCTCAACTCCGTAGCTTTGCAACTTGGTATCTTTGTCATTTCGACTGACTCCTGTGTTATTCTGAAGAGTGTGGTTAACTTCTGAAGCAAAGAAAGGACTGGTTGGAATCTCAAGGCTGTGTTGTGTGATCCTTTGCTCTATTTTAAAAGTCTTGCAGCACAGTCCAAGTCTCCATGGATAACTCAAAAGTTTTTTTCACATTTAATATGAAAACTGTTAATATTGCATTAGACTTGCTTCTTTTTGTACATCATGCTTCTTATTTAAAAACCAAACAAAAAAACCCCAAGAAACAAACAAAAAGACCCATATTTCATAGCCTGCTGACTTTTTAAAACAGTGACTGCTATGATTGAAAAATCTTTGCAAACTAAACATCAAATGAAATAATTAAGCTTCCAAACAACCTCTTATTGCAAGTGGCATTGAGAAGAAATAATTTATATTTCAGAAAGGTATATCTGACTAGTTTATTCACTTATTTTTTCAATAAATGTTTATTAGGTATATGTTCTCTGCCAGACCCATTGCAAAGTGCTGGAGAAACAGGAAAAAACGGATTATTCTTGCTCTTAAGGAGTTTAAAGTCTAGTGGAATGTCTTCTTTCAGTTGTTCAGTTAAGTATTGCTAAATATAGCTGTGACCAAGATAGGTATGAATATTATATTTAAAGAGTTTTTGTTCTAGTGGGGAAGACTGATTTTAAAGACTAATTATACTGCTAGTTAACCAGTTAGTTAATTACAGAATTATAGTAGTGTTGAATGCTTTATTGGAAGAGTATCATTGGAGAACTTAGGAAAGGCTTTATAGAGGAGGTGGCAGTTGTATAATATGAAGATTCACTCATGTATATGAAGTTCAAAATTTTTATAGAATGGAGTTTATATTTGCTTAATTCTTTTTTTTTTTTTTTCCCATCTTCTTAAATGAGGTCGGGGTTTGAAGAGTGGAGAGAACTTTAAGTTGCTGTATGATCTGGCAGATCAACTACATGCTGCGGGTAAGTTTATTTTCCTTACTAGAAAAATATTTCCATTTCATTGGAAATATTTTTTCTTCATTATTTCATTTTATATAAATCACTCAAAGCTGCAGATTTTTTTGCTTTCTCTGGTTTTCAACTTTTCTGTCTGAAACAGTTTTTAAATGGTGTAGCATTCAGTGAGGAAAGGTTGTCCTTGTTCTTTATTATTTATATGATACTCTTACCATTTGCCAAATTTTAGGAGTTTTTCCATTAAAAAAAATTAAATGTCAACTTCATTGCCTACTTCAGATTCAGGAATGCCCTTGTTTTTCTCTTTATTGCTGGTCCAACATAAATCTCTCATACAAATAGAAATTAACATTTAACATTTTAAAAATTTATAGGGAAGATAGATCTTGTTATTAAAAGTGTATTAAGAATGAAATGATGGTTTTTGAAAAAAAATCAGAACATTAAAAATATTTTAGTTTTTAATTATACAATTATAAATGAGTGTATTCTTAATGTCTAGTTTGTTCTTCCCTTTTTGAGAGTTTCGTGTATAACTTTCTGGTTTTTATGCTTTATATTACCTAATATATGTACCCATAGAAATAGTTATGGTTTTGTCTGAATAAAGATGTAATCTTGACTCTATAATCAGATGATGGTATTTGACTGAGGATATTTCATTTATTCATTCACTGAATAAATTTTTATTGAGTGTCTGCTGTATGACAGGCACTATTTTTAGGAGCTAGGCAAAAAACAGTGAATAAAATGAGCAAAATGATTCAAAGTTCTAGAGGCCAGAAGCACGTCAAAATCAAAGTGTTGGCAGAGCCACACTCCTACTGGGGAGTGAATATGTTTCCAGTTACCAGAGGCTGCCTTGGCATTCCTGGACTTATAGCCACGTCACTCCAGGTTCTGCCACTGTCTTTGTATTACCTTCTCTTCTTTATCTGTATCATGTCTCCCTCTACATCCCTCTTACACTGATACATGTGGTGATATTTAAAAATCACCTACATAATCCAGGATAAGTGCCTTCTCCCAAGATCCTTAATTTTATATTATATCTGCTGCCGCAGGTAATATTCACAAGTTCTGAGAACTAGAAAATGAATATATCTTTAGAGGGGCCATTTTTCTGTTTACTACAGACAGTAAACATAGTAAATTAGTAAATAATAAAATAGTATGTTGGGGGCTTCCCAGGTGACTCAGTGGTAGAAGAATCCACCTGCCAATGCAGGAGATGCAGGTGTGGGTTCGATCCCTGGGTCAGGAAGATCCCCTGAAGGAGGTAATGGCAACCCATTCTAGTATTCTTGCCTGGAGAATCCCATGGACAGAGGAGCCTGGCAGGCTATAGTCCATGGGATCGCAAAAAGAGTCAGACATGACTTAGTGACTAAACAGCAATGAATGCACTGGGAGACCAAAAAATAATCCACTTAACTTGCTTTATTGTGGTGGTTTGAAACTGAACCACCAATATCTCTGAGAGATATCCTCTGTATACAGGAGAGTGTGCATAGGTATATGCAAATACTGTTCCATTATGAGGGATTTGAGCACCCTTGGATTTTGGTGTCCTTGGAAGGGTTCTGAAAGTAATCCCTTGTGGATACCAAGAAATGACTGTACAAAGTTTTGACATGTCTAATAACAGATACCCTAATAGAATTGTCAGTTAAGCAGTTGGTATAGAAATGTGGAGTTCGAAAGTTTGGACTGGAGATAGAAACTTGGGAATCAATTGCATTTAGATGGTGTTTGAAACTGTGAGACTGGATGAATTCACCAAGAGTGTAGATGTAAAAGAAGTCCTAGGATTAAGCCTTAGATGCTGCGAGATTAACAGGTAGGGGAGAAGAGGAGAATGAAGACCAAAGACAAATGGAAAAGTAAGGCAGGAAAACCAGGATAGAGAGTCTGATGTTCTGGAATCTAAGTGAAGTGTCTCAGTAAGGCAAAGCGTGATCACCTATGTCAAATGCTGCCCATAGGTCAGGGAAGATGAGCACCGAAAAGTGCCTCATTGATCAGCCACTTAGAGGTCATTGGTGACTTTGAGCAGTTTTAGTAATGGTAGTAGTGGGTAGTGGGGGCACAAACCTGATTGGAGTGTTTATAAGTAGTTACATGGTTGTATCCACTTCATGATCAGCCATCGAAGCTGATCATGAGCTAAGTTCATTTGTGATTTGTGTGCTTTACTTGTATGTGTGTCATATTTTAATTAAAAAGTTTTTAGAAGTAGAATGGGAGGCCTGGCAACGAAGACAATGAATGCAAACGAGTCCTTAGAGGCTTTTAACCATATGGTAGAGCAGAGAAATAGACAGTAGCTAGAGGGGGAGCAGGACCAGCAGAGGAACTTTTTAAAGGTTAGAAGATAATAGCATGCTTTATATGCCGATGGGAATGCTCTAGTTAAGAGGGAGAGGTTAATCATACGTGAGATGAGAGTCACTGGAACGATGTTCTTGAGTTGGTGGGAGAGAATATGAAACACAGCTGCAAATTGATGGGTGAATGTGTTAGTTGGAGCAGGTTTCCCTTTTTTAGTGAAATTGGAAGCAGAATGTTAAAAGAATATTGAAAGTTTGAAGAGAGAGGAAAGATACAAAGTTACAATATAGGACAGTCTGAGAGAAATAAACCCTATTTATTTAAAGTACAAAACAGTTACCATGGCTGAGTATTGGTGTTTTTCTCCAGTCATGCTGAACTGTATGTAGTAGGACAGGTATGCAAAGGGGAGAAAGATTGCTTAGTCAGTAACCAAGAGATGGAGGTTTTCCACCATTTGGAAATAAGATGATATAAGAGGAGGGCAAGGAAATTGAAGGCACATGCAAAGGAGTGCTTAGAGTCATTGATAATAGAAACTGAGCTGGGTAAAGAAAGAACAGAGAACATAAGGGGAGAGAGGGACAGTGCAAAGAATTATAGACCTCAGTGAGGTCAGAGGGTTGTTGGAGTCAGGTACTAAAAGGGGTCAGCTGGAATGGGGAGGTCACAGAGATTTTGGAAATCGAGATTGTTGATGATATTGGTAATGGACAGATTGAGGATGTGACCATGGCTCTGGCTGAGGCAGCATGAAGGGTAAGATGACTGGAGGAGGATTGCTCAAAGAATTGAGGAGCCAAGGTGTCAACGTCTTCAAGTAGTAAGATAAGACTAGTACTGGAGAGAGTAACAAAGACCCAGAAGCTAAAATCCTAGAGAAATGAAGGGAATTGACCTGCTGGTTAATGGATGACACAAGCAACATGCGAGTGACATTATCCGATGACATGAGATTCAAAATTGAAGGCTTTTAAGGAGAAAGGAGGGAAAACTTTTTGAGAGTTGCAGTGAGTCCCTGGAGTACCACCTTGAGGCCCCAGTCATATGAGGATAGTGGCAGACAAGGCGGCATCTGCTGGAGAGGATTGGAGAGGGTAAAAAAAAAGTCTTTTTTTTTTTTTTTTTAATTTTTTAGAAACCGTTTTCAGTGAATGCCCCCAACAAATTGAATAATAGAGCTTTAAAAAAATAACAACTATTTTTTTCTTAGTTGGTGCTTCTCGTGCTGCTGTTGATGCTGGTTTTGTTCCCAATGACTTGCAAGTTGGACAGACAGGAAAAATAGTGGCACCAGTAAGTATTGCAGTAAAATATGCCATGCAAAATTCTGTGGGGATAAGAACTGTATATATTCGTGGAGCAGTCATCTCAGTGACATGATGACCTATTCAGTGTACCGAGGCAGTTAGCCTTTATCCCGGTGAGTGTGTCCTCACAGGCCTGTGGATCTCTTGGCCTTAGTAAAATGTATAGCAGGTCTTAAATCCAGCAGTGTTTTTCAGAGTTTTTAAAGCAGTAGAATACTTTGTCAAATTTATGTCACAACATTAAATATGAAATTGAGAGAAGCATCATTTTATTATATAGATTTTATAAGTTCATCTTAGCATTTATTTACTATAATGCCTGTGTATTATATTATAAAATCTATCCATAAAACTGATGAATCTATATTAATGAACACAAACTCTCAAAATCAGGAGCTGTGAATGACAGCTGTAGTCTTACGTCTTCCTGAACACCTCATTTATTTCTGTGTTATGTCTAGTTGCATGAAATTCAGTAAATTCTATAAATTCAGGAATTCTGATTCCATTCTGATCCATATTAGATTATTCTTCAATTAAAGCTATTCAAAACTTAGGAATATATTGGTTTCAAAGTTGAATTACTAACAATATCAAATGATTGTTCATGTTTCTAAGATGATACAAGTTTTCAGTGGGTAGAATTCTTAGCCAGCTTAAATCTTTATTGTGTGGAGGAAAATGAGTTTTTAAATATATTTCAAAATGTACTTTTAATGTATTTCAAAACAAAATATTAAGTCATATCCATTAAAAAAATCTCATGTCTCATCAGATGTTCATTTAAAATTTCAAAATAATAAAAAAAATTTAAGTCTTGTCTTTGAAGTTTGTTTTGAAGAGAGTTCAACCCCGTTTTAAAATTGGGTTCTTTGTCTTTTTATTGCTTCTTTATTCATTTTTGAAGAGCAGAAATTTTTATTTTTATAAGATCTAATTATTGATGTTTGTTAATACTTTTTGTGTTATTCAGTTTATTTGAACTCAGATAAGATCTCAGAATCTAAAATATGTACTAAAACTAAAGTCAGAAAAACCATGTGACCTATTTGCTTGTGATATCACATTTGTCAGGCTGTGAGAACATTTATTGAGCAGGTAAATTCAAACCTTCCCTGACAGGAATGGCAAACAGGTATTTTTTTGGTGAAAATCTTGTTTGTCATAGTTTACGTGAATAAACAGCTTTATTTGAATTTATTTACCAAAGATGAAGCCCACAACCTTTCTAATCAGTCTAATCATACTTCTACAGCAAAGTATGCTGGGAGACAGGCTTTTTTTTGCATTGACTTTTCAGGAACAATACACTTGTTATTAAGTAGCATGGCAGAATGACAGGGAATGACCAGTGGCATCCTTATTTGTATTGTAGATAAATGTCATACAGTCAGCTTTCTTCAACATTGCTATCATGACTGTAGGATTACTGAAAATTTTTCTTAAGGAATTTAAAATATATTAAAGTCTTCACTTTAACATGAATCCTGTATTCCCTGGAGATTCTGGCTCATTAACTGTTAGACTTCAGCATGTGTGTCTGTGTATATTTGTCTGTGTGTGTGTATGTGTATATTTTTCTTTTAAGACTCTAAATCTTTTTTGAGCTGATTTCAAGTTTACAGAAAACTTTCAAGTACAAAGTAAAAACCTTTATTTTTGTGGACTGTTTGAGAGTAAGGTGCTGAGATGATTCTCCATCATTTCCAAATATGTAGGACATTCTCCTATAAAACCACAATACAACTTTTAAAATCAGGACATTGGCACCAGTACATTAATACCATGTGAACATCAGACCCTTTTCAGGTTTTGCCAGTTGTCCCAATAATGTGCTATATGTTATAGCAAAGGATTGTAATTTGTAATCAAATGTTGCATATGGTTGTCATGTGTCCTTCCATCTCAAAGAGTTCCTGTCTTATTTTGACTTTCATGACCTTGACACTTTTGAAAATTATAGGACAGCTATTTTGTAGAGTAGAATGTCCCTTATTTTGAGTTTGTCTGTTGTCTCCTCACCGTTCAATTTAGATTATATATGTGTCTTTGACAGGAATATCACAAAAATGATATTTCATCCTATCAAGTGGTATACAGTTTCATTGTGTCTTATTAGATTTTCACTTTGACTGTTTGATTAAAGCTGTTTTTCCCTTTGTAATTAATAAATGTTTTATAAGGAGGTACTTTGAAATGATATGAATATTCCGGTTCTCCTCAAACTTTCAGTTTATTCATTTACATTTATTTTCTTAAGCGAACATTGAATATTTATTTATTTGTTTGTTTTTCTTTTATTTTTTATTTTTTCATTTATTTTTATTAGTTGGAGGCTAATTACTTTACAATATTGTAGTGGTTTTTGTCATACATTGACATGAGTCAGCCATGGATTTACATGTATTCCCCATCCCGATCCCCCCTCCCACCTCTCTATCCACCCGATTCCTCTGGGTCTTCCCAGTGCACCAGGCCTGAGCACTTGTCTCATGCATCCAGCCTGGGCTGGTGATCTGTTTCACCCTAGATAATATACATGTTTCGATGCTGTTCTCTCGAAACATCCCACCCTCACCTTCTCCCATAGAGTCCAAAAGTCTGTTCTGTACATCTGTGTCTCTTTTTCTGATTTGCATATAGGGTTATCGTTACCATCTTTTGAAATTCCATATATATGCATTAGTATACTGTATTGGTCTTTACCTTTCTGGCTTACTTCACTCTATATAATGGGCTCCAGTTTCATCCATCTCATTAGAACTGATTGAAATGAATTCTTTTTAATGGCTGAGTAATATTCCATGTTATTGGAATATATATTCCATGTATATGTACCACAGCTTTCTTATCCATTCATCTGCTGATGGGCATCTAGGTTGCTTCCAAGTCCTGGCTATTATAAACAGTGCTGCGATGAACATTGGGGTGCACGTGTCTCTTTCAGATCTGGTTTCCTCGGTGTGTATGCCCAGAAGTGGGATTGCTGGGTCATATGGCAGTTCTAATTCCAGTTTTTTAAGAAATCTCCACACTGTTCTCCATAGTGGCTATACTAGTTTGCATTCCCATCAACAGTGTAAGAGGGTTCCGTTTTCTCCACACCCTCTCCAGCATTTATTGCTTGTAGACTTTTGGACAGCAGCCATCCTGACTGGCATGTAATGGTACCTCATTGTGGTTTTGATTTGCATTTCTCTGATAATGAGTGATGTTGAGCATCTTTTCATGTGTTTGTTAGCCATCTGTATGTCTTCTTTGGAGAAATGTCTGTTTAGTTCTTTGGCCCATTTTTTGATTGGGTCATTTATTTTTCTGGAGTTGAGCTGCAGGAGTTGCTTGTATATTTTCGAGATTAATCCTTTAGACAAAGGATTGCTTCATTTGCTATTATTTTCTCCCAATCTGAGGGCTGTCTTTTCACCTTACTTATAGTTTCCTTTGTTGTGCAAAAGCTGTTAAGTTTCATTAGGTCCCATTTGTTTATTTTTGCTTTTATTTCCAATATTCTGGGAGTTGAGTCATAGAGGATCCTGCTGTGATTTATGTCAGAGAGTGTTCTGCCTATGTTCTCCTCTAGGAGTTTTATAGTTTCTGGTCTTACATTTAGATCTTTAATCCATTTTGAGTTTATTTTTGTGTATGGTGTTAGAAGGTGTTCTAGTTTCATTCTTTTACAAGTGGTTGACCAGTTTTCCCAGCACCACTTGTTAAAGAGGTTGTCTTTTTTCCATTGTATATCCTTGCCTCCTTTGTCGAAGATAAGGTGTCCATAGGTTCGTGGATTTATCTCTGGGCTTTCTATTCTGTTCCATTGATCTATATTTCTGTCTTTGTGTCAGTACCATACTGTCTTGATGACTGTGGCTTTGTAGTAGAGCCTGAAGTCAGGCAGGTTGATTCCTCCAGTTCCATTCTTCTTTCTCAAGATTACTTTGGCTATTCGAGGTTTTTTGTATTTCCATACAAATTATGAAATTATTTGTTCTAGTTCTGTGAAAAATACTGTTGGTAGCTTGATAGGGATTGCATTGAATCTATAGATTGCTTTGGGTAGTATAGCCATTTTGACAATATTGATTCTTCCAATCCATGAACATGGTATATTTCTCCATCTGTTTGTGTCCTCTTTGATTTCTTTCATCAGTGTTTTATAGTTTTCTATGTGTAGGTCTTTTGTTTCTTTAGGTAGATATACTCCTAAGTATTTTATTCTTTTTGTTGCAATGGTGAATGGTATTGTTTCCTTAATTTCTCTTTCTGTTTTCTCATTGTTAGTGTATAGGAATGCAAGGGATTTCTGTGTGCTAATTTTATATCCTACAACTTTACTATATTCGTTGACTAGCTCTAGTAATTTTCTGGTAGAGTCTTTAGGGTTTTCTATGTAGAGAATCATGTCATCTGCAAACAGCGAGTTTCACTTCTTCTTTTCCTATCTGGATTCCTTTTACTTCTTTTTCTGCTCTGATTGCTGTGGCCAAAACTTCCAAAACTATGTTGAATAGTAGTGGTGAGAGTGGGCTTCACCTTTTTCTCAAGTGCACATGGAACCTTCTCCAGAATAGATCACATCCTTGGCCGTAAATCTAGCCTTGGTAAATTCAAAAAAATTGAAATCATTCCAGTCATCTTTTCTGACCACAGTGCAGTAAGATTAGATCTCAATTACAGGAAAAAAAATTATTAAAAATTCAAACATATGAATATTTATTTATAATAGGACTTATTGTCCCTATTATGTTCAGTGGGTGAAAATCTGTTGTCATTATTTTTGTTGATGTACAAATTGTTCTGCATTTGGCCAGTGAGAAGCCCTTCTGGGGGCTTCTGTGTCTTAACATGTTCCCATCATTCTTTGGGGCCTTACTTACTGATGGAATAAGATGTTCTAGGCTTTTTGTACCTTTCCTATCCCAGCCCTGGTATCAGTCTTTTCTCCAGGGAGTCCTGGTTCCTTTTAGTGAAAGAATAGTGTGAAGCTGA